GCTGTTTTAAATTCTTTAAATAGTTTTTTTCGATCAATATTTTTTTCCAATCTTTCACAGTAAAAAAAATGAGAATTTAAGTTTTTGTTTACATTAACCTTCGATTGACCTTACTACGAGCTTATAAACAAAATCTCTTCTAAACGTAAAAACGTTATAAAACTCTCAGAAGACATAAACAAAACACCAATACGGGCGTCAAAAAACAATTGAATTACGAATCTTTTCATTTCTATTGATGATAAATAAATGAATGCCCAGATAATCACACACAACTCAACTCCACTCCGCAAGCGCCTTGAAAGTTAGAAGAAGATTTACAGCTTGTTCCGAAGCTAAACAACTTGCTAGAGGCAGTTTTCATTAAAAAAGAATTCCCATAACTATTCATCGATGACTCTTCGCATGTATCGTTAATTTTAAAATATTTCGCCAAGAAAACAATGGGTGATGTACGAATTATATTAACTCAGAAAAAAGAAGAACATTTGGACGGGTGCAAATAAAAATCGTCTAAACAATGAAAATCAATCAATATCATGTTTCACACTCCAACAAACACGGTCTCGAAGGTAGAGTTTGCCTGTCGCGTGACGTCATTAATTCATACCAGTCATTGAATTTTGAAAGGTTACTTTTTTTTATGGATAATCACGTGATTTCTAATAGTTCCTCTACCTGTACTAAATAACAATGTTTATTAGACGCCAATTTTGTGAGGTTTTAGATAATTCTAAATTTTCATCTTCACTTCAATTTATTCGAATATCTAGAAAATTTCTAGAATAATGGAGAAAACGTTTACTTTGCTGTTAAAGGGAGGAGTTTCGCCTTGTAAAATAATTTACTTTGAACCATGTAAAAAAAAATTTTTAAATTTACAGTAAGAATAAATTATTTTACGAAGACGTACATTATAAAAAATGACGGCTAAATTCAAGGTAAAAAGTACCGAAATCCAATTCTTTTTACCGCAAAATTCATTTTATCATAAGATTTTTACGGAACAAAAAATCTGATGTACCGTAATTGTTAAAGTAATATATACAGTAAAATCACTAAATCATGTAATTAAAAAAATATTTCAGATAAAATTACCGATACGGAAAGATTTTAAATGACTAAATCATAGTAATTAAATAAATACTACAAAAATGACGATATGAAACTCTGCGGTAAAAAATATATTTTACGGTAAAATGTACAGATCTGAGAATGTTGCACTCATGGTGAATGTACTTTCTGCAGTTATTTTACCCAAAATATTTTTTACAGCGCAGCTCTAAATATTTTTCTGTAGTTCAAAGTATAATTTTCAAATGTGGTAAAGGGTAAACTCAAATCCATACCATACATTCTTTATTAGATTGTATCCAGATATAAATAAATATAATACATTACCTGATAAATATATTACATTACCAGATAAATATATTACATTACCACAAGCTATATATTTTTTTAAGATTTCTGTTCTATCATAATTCATATTTTTTATTAGATTCCTATATTTCTAAAAGGTCTCAGTTCTTAAGTTAAATAAGATGCCTATATTTTTTTATATGAACGCATTTTATGTATTCTATAAAATTCCTATATTTTCGATTAGATCGCGAACAAAATTCTCATATTTTCGATACGATCTTCATTAATACTTCCTACAAAATTCCTATATTGTCTATAGCATCAAAAACCTTATGTTATGTTATGTTATGTTATGTTATGTTATGTTATGTTATGTTATGTTATGTTAATAAAGATTTCGATATTTTTATGTGATCACAATCTCTATGTTATATAAGATTTCAATACCTTTATATGATCACAATCCGTATATTATATGATATTTCAACATATTAATATGATTGCAATCCGTTATATACGATTCCAAAATCTTTATATGATATCAATCCGTATATTATATAAGATTTCAAAATCTTTATATGATCACTATCCGTATACTATAGAATATTTTAATACCTTAATAGGATTGCAATCCGTTATATACGATTCCAAAATCTTTATATGATATCAATCCGTATATTATATAAGATTTCAAAATCTTTATATGATCACTATCCGTATACTATAGAATATTTTAATACCTTGATAGGATTGTAATCCGTTATATACGATTCCAAAATCTTTATATGATATCAATCCGTATATTATATAAGATTTCAAAATCTTTATATGATCACTATCCGTATGCTATAGAATATTTTAATACCTTAATAGGATTGTAATCCGTTATATACGATTTCAAAATCTTTATAGGGTCTCAATCCGTATATTATATAAGATTTCAATACTCTTATATGATCACAATCCGTATATTACATAAAATTTCAAACTCTTTATATGACCACAATCCGTGTGCATTATATAAGATTTCTAAATATTCCAGATTATCGCATTCTATACTCTTTATAAAAGCCCTACATTTTGCATAAGATCGCTACCAACATTTATATAATATGTATTTCTATAACATAATTATCAAAAATTTTCTATAAATAAAATATAAATTTTCAAAAAAGCAATCTACCATTTTCTATAATATCTTATACATTTCTTATATGATCATGATTCATAGTTTTTATGAGATTCCCATAATATCTATATGATCGCAAACCATATTTTTTATGAATCCTTTTTCTTATTTAAAATTATTTATCCGTATATTTTTAAATGTTTCTTTACTTCTATAATATAGTAATAAATATTCCTTCATTCGTTTATACACAATGGCATTACATACATTTTATAAAAATAACTTTTAAAATTTTCTTAAAATCTTAACTGTAGAATAATTTTTTTCCATAACAACTTTCATGTCGTGCCTCATTTTATTAGAAAAAGGTATTTTAAGGCAATTTAAAAAATGACCATCTTTTTTGTTAATTTATTAGTATTTTGATACGTTTTATTATATTCAACAGTGAAAGATAAGAAAAAAAGTGTACCTATAATCTTTTACTCAAAAACTGTTTCAACATAGCATGGTCGCTATTTTAATGATCGAGAACAGCGGTTCCCAAATGGTATTCCGCCAAACCCTAGGGTTCCATGAAAAAGGGGTTCCGAGAGTAAGAACTTGTTTCTATCTCCCAGATATGATTTTTGAAATCTGTATTTATTATTACATCTAATTAATAATCTATTATTTATTTAATATTTCGGTTCTCTTCATATAATTAAAATAAAAATCCAATAAAAAAATAAATTGAAAAGAATTTGAATCATTTTTTTTTTTAATCAGTATTTTTCTGAAAACAATATCTTGACTTGAAAAAGACCTGGATTTATGAGAAGCTGCATCAGTATTTATCATCGCGCTTTTAAAATTAAAATAAAGTAACTAAATTCGCTAAAATAACGAAATATGTTTCCTTGGTTACCATTTTCAACGCTTATAACAGTTCTTTCAGCTTTCATTTAATCAAGAACAACATCGAAACAAAATTTAACATGGAATTTATTTTAAATTTACAGTCTGAAAATAAAATAAATAATCATTCGGCTTATTTAGTTTATTTTCATCTTGTGAATTTACTGTAGACACAAATTTAAAACTAAATTAGATACAATTCCAGAAGTGCAAATTCAACTATCGGATATAAAATCTAATTTAAAGCTATATTAAGGAACAAAAACTATGAAAAAAATCATTCTTCTATTAAATCTTTTCAGGATAAAATAGTCTTTTATTGGACATAACGATCACAATTGTTTATATATATTTAACTATATATTGTTTTTATTTACTTTATTTTATGTGCATCATTATTTACAAAGTCGGGGTTTCGCAGAAAGAAATTTGATCATTTAGGGTTTCATAGCCGACAAAATTTGGAAACCGCTGATCAGAAAATTACATACTATGCTGGAAGCGTTAAATCTTTGCCTCTCGGTTTCAAGTGCTTATTTACCATTTATTCATTTAAAAAAAAATTTTATTTATTTATTTATTGTTAAAATTGAAACCAAATACATAATTGGGAACATTTTTTTTTTCGTTTGAAAATTTCGCAAGCTTTGTTTTTGTTTTTGTTAACTTGAAACACCTCACGTTATTTTATGTGCAACCTATGTATGTACTTTATTTAAAAATAAAGCAAAATAATGTGGCTTGAAACAATAAACATTAAAAGTTTTTTAAGGAAAAAAGGAAAAACAAATTTTAAATACAAAGCAGCATTATTTGCTTTTCCATGTTTATTGAATTACAATTTAAGTTAATTGAAAAGATGTTATTAAATTATTATTTTCCTTCCTCGTGTTTTTGTTTCCAACTCCATTGTTTTGGTACTTTTTGCTTGTTTTTTCTTTAATTTGAAAATTAAAAAATTCATCTAATAGAACAAATGCGTGCCACAAACACGCATAAATTCAGAGTTGTATTGTTGCAGTTGAAGTGCTTGATTTTATTAAATATAGCAGACGATCGCATTTCTTAATGATACTATGATCGAGTTGAAACAACAATTTGCATTAAAACAACATCGTCTGCAATGAATCGAACCTGCATAATTTGCTGAAGAGTTGAATTTAATTTTTTTCGAATAGCCCGAAGGTACATATAAATACGAGAAAGAAAAAGCCCACTTAATAAAATAATGCAGGTTTTTGAATAAAAAAAAAGTTATTCGGAATTACAAAAACCGAAGAAAAAGCAAAGAAAACATGGAATTCGAAACCACACGGTAAGAAATTCGATCGCATTCTCATTACTTTAATGACAAAAAGGAAGCATTGTCGAATACTAATTAATTCTTTCGGTTGTTCTAACGCGGTTTTTCGATTTGTTCGTGTTTCTTTTAGAAATCATGAAGTATGTGAAGTTTTGAGTGGATTGAGAATTTATTTTTTTATTTAGGTTATGCGGGATTCAATTTAATTTTTTATTTCACTTTTTTTAAAGTGAAAAAGAAAAAAATAATTTCTTTGATATCTCTTGATTAGATATAAGTTTAAAGAACTGTTTTCTTTTTTTTCAGATGACGACATTCTGATTTGGAATATTTTGAAGCATCTTTCGATTAGAAATGGAAAAACTTTGTGAACAAAAACCGAATCTCTTTGTAATCAAAGAATTGGAAAAAATAAAAAATTTTCTCTTGTTCATTTCTTTAAAGTCTATAAAATAAAAATTTGAAATTTTATGAGAAATAGTTGCTTCTCGCCATTTTTTTTTCTCTTGATAAATTAAATAAACTTACAATTTTACTTACGAGTAAACCTAATATTGAATTCAAGCAATTTTTAACCACATTATTAAACATTAAACTTAAGTTGGTTAAAGTTGAAACTGTTAAACTTTCAACTTCAGCAGGTTAAAACTATACTTGTTTTTTATTTTATTTTGTAACCGTAGTTGAACAGCCGACCCATTTTTTTTTTTGCATTTATGACTACTAGTGTTCAACTCCGTAGTCTTGTAATTTTGAACCCAATACAGAAGAGAAGGGAACTGCTGAGTCAAGTATTGGGAGAAATTTGCCTTCGTGGAGGACTTTTTAATGGAACTAACCCACATTTACGTTACATTGAGAGGAAAACCACGAGAACCTCCCAAGGTTAGCCAGACGGTAAGGAGACTCTAACCATGATCCGTTTACCATTGAGGATATTTTACGTCAGCACTGTGGTCGGTGCAAGCCGAATGCGGAATTCGTATCGACCAGTCATCGCTGGGATTCGAACCCGGTTTATCTAATTGGAAGGCGAACGCTCTATCCCCTGAAAGCCATCATGGCTTAAACAATACTTGTTGAACTTATTGTTAAAAACGAACAGTTTCACTTAATATTTAAATGAATTAAAGCCGTATCGTATAACTTCAAGCAGGTTGAAACGACGCTGTCAAACTTAATTATTAAGCATTAAGCAAACTTAATTATTAAGCATGAATATTATTTTATTTGTAGTAACTATTAACATTTTTTTTTGCTATTTAATTTAATTTAATTTTTTTTTCTGTTTAATTTTTTAATCAAATGAAAAGTCATTTTCTTAGTAAATATTAAAAATATATATGTATATTCACACTATTATGCATCGTTATCGAATATAGAAATGAAATTATTTATAGGAGTGGAACTTAAATTTAACATAAAAACTAATGTAAACAAACCATTTTAAGTGGGTGAAGCTATTACTTTGAGGGTTGTGTTCCCCTGAAACTTTAATCCTAAGTTAGCATTCCTAGATATCATGCTTTCTTAGACCTACATCTTGACTTTTGTTTATCACAAAAGAATTTAATAGATTTTTTTCAGTGCAAAGCAACTTGTATGATTACCTTTTCTGTATAATAGTTTAAAGTTTTTTTAAGTTGGCGACTTTTATAAATATTTTTGAGAGATATCAAAAGGTTTTTTCTCTAAAACAAATATTCGATAAATATATGTACACCTAATAATGCATCGCTCACTGAAAGTCACAATTATATTTAATGGAGTTTGATCATATTAGAAACATAACTTACTAGATTAACATAACTTAAAAAACAGCAGTAGTCGAACAGGTCGGCTACTGCTGTTTTTTCCAGCTTTGTTTCTTTATGTTTTCATGTTTCGTTGTCAATTTTACATCTTATATTTCAAATCACTTTTGTTTCTTCTCATCTACATCTGGCAAGTCTAGAAAATTGGCTCCTACTTTTGTGCGCTTGAAATATGCCGACTGTTATTTCAGATTTGTATGTTTTTGAAACGAATGAAGTTTTTTCAAACAAGTAATATCTTCCCGCTTCAGTTTCTTGGTGTAATTTATTTAAATATGCTAATTAGCTCGAATCTTCTAAAAAATAAACTAAAAATTTTTAGATGTTTTTTAAAAATTTTCAAAAATTGAAATTTTCAAAATTTTAATCTCGTATTCTTAGACAAATTACGAGTGAGTCTCATATTTTCAGTCTGTGTTAAAATGTTAATGAAGTATAAATATTTTAAAATTGAAAACTCAAGATCAAAATATATTTTTCTTTCTGATTTAAACAAGATCCTCCTAATAATTTCCAATTTTTAAAAAAAAATAATAATTTAATTAAATCAATCTCATAATATTAGTTTGCGTTAAAATCTTAATGGAATTTAAATGTTCCTACGCAGAAAACGTTAGAACAAAATATATTTGACGTTTTGCGTTAAACAAGAATTTCCTAAATAGTTCGAATTTTCTAAAAAAAAAAATAACAAATTAAATCTCAATCTGAAAGGCGTCATTAAAAAGAAAGTGTCAGGAAGAGACGACAATGACGGGGCAACTCAATTTCTTACAAGCGGCACTTTGTTTCGCGAAAATAAAAAAGAACGTAGGTGGGAAAAAAGAACCCACCCTACATACAGAACTGACAGGGCCCTCTGACTAACGAAGTTTGTTGTTATATACATAGAAAAAAACTATAAAAAAAGGAGACCAACATAAAAAGCGGAAAACAAAGGCCAGGCCGGACCCCACTTTCAAAACCTTCTTTTGTGAGCTCGATCAGCTTGGAGTCTTAAAAATTCCCCTTTGTGTGTGGAAAGACCCTTTCCACTTGCCTCCATTATCAAATTAGAACGTAGTGCCCCTTTTTCTTTTTATTCTTTAACCACCCCCAAAGTGGTGCTAGGAGTTACTGAAGAGTACAAGACTTAAATAAAATTAAGATTGAAGTATAAATTACCTAAGAAAATACAGGTTGATGTAAAAGATCTAAGTTGTACACGTCAATGCAAATTTTACATTACAGAGTAGTATTTACTTGAAAGTGTACCTAAAGCTGCAAAGGTCTTGTAGAAAATTGTACAATTTATTTTAATTATAAATTGCTATTTTAAAATTGTTTTTTTTTAAATTAAAAAATCAACCTTTAAAATGAATTTAAATTAAATAATGATTTTAGATTTAAAAAATATAATAGCTTATTTTAATGGACCATTTAAAAAATTAAGGAAAGATAAATAAACAAGTCGAAAAGGTTTGTATTAAAAGTTATTTAATGATTCAATTATGTGTGCAAATTAATTGTAAATAGTTTATAAATAATCCAGATCGACCCTTAGAAAGAAAAGTAATAAAGAAAGGAAAATTGGTTACAAATAATTAGATCACTGAGTAAAATAACCTGTTACATAAAATTAAATGCATTCTTTCAAGAAAAATTTCTTATTTCAAATTTTTTTTATTGTAGAAAATTTTTTATTGCGCAGTAGTATGAAGTTTCTGAAAAATTAACTTAAAATTAAACAATATGATGAATAAATAAATGTACGAAATTTTTGTATAATTTGTATACTTAAAGACAAGAATACATTTTCATACCAAAATATAGATTTTGATATGTTTTTAATATTACATTCAGAGACTTTGCATTAAACTTAACATTTAGATTTGTTTTTTAATATTATTTTTTTAGGCAAAATATTTTTTACCTTTTTTCCTTTAACTTTATATGTATTTAAAACTTTTCATCCTCAAGATAACTTGGAAAGTTTTAGAAAAGTTCTTTACCGTAAAATTTTATGTTTCAAATCAAACATATTCTTTCTGGATTTGGGAGTTTTCAATTGAATAATATTAATAATGGGGAGCAATAGTTGCCAACTTAAAGAGGGTATAGCTTTCTAAGAAAGTATGTCATGATAAACTACCTTTATGGGTAGTTCTTCAAAATGAGCTGAAATATATAAATTGAAACAGGTACAACCAAAACCATTCATAGTGACAAATCTTCATTTTCTCAAACAAACTAAGCAAAACTAAACAAACTCAATGATTTCTATTTTAAGGATAAAATATAATTGATATATTGCGGCTCTAAGTAAAAATAAAAATACTTTCTTCGGTGAGATTTGTCATAATTCTCCTCGGCGCTAAAAATGCGAACAAATTCTCAACCTCAATTTCCCCCGTTGAAAGATAACAGAAATAAAGAAAAAAACGAAAAAAACCAAATAAACGATAGATTGAGTTAAAAGGTAAAAAGTGAAAAAAAAAGAGCTATAGCTTGGAGTAGTAAGTGCTCTTGCTTGTCTGTATAAGTCATTCCAGGTTGTATAAAAAGAAAATAGTTCGTTCGTAAAAACCTTAGGGATCACCCAAAATGAGCTACAGAAACTTAACGGACTTTACCTAGATCAAGTAATAAGTCTGCATCAGTTCCAATTTAGCTACTTTGTCAAGAGTCTAGGGGGGCTAGGGTTATAGGGATGGGGGAGGGGAAAAAAACTTAAGCTTTCCTTTTGAGCGTTAACAATGAAATGGGCCATATTAAGTTAACTACTCTAGCAGACTATTTTTTCTTTCGTTTTAGAGCTATGGAGTTCGATGAAGATTTAAGTTCTGCAATTGATTATACTTGATGAGTTCCGACTGAGCATACCTTTCTTTTTTAGTTTAAAAAAAAAGATGATTAATTACTCCTTTAAAAAAAAGGGGATTTTTATTTTAAAAATCCCTTTCCGTAGGTATAATTTTAGTTTTATGACCAAAGAAAAGGGATAAGTTTTTAGAAAGAATCGTCGATTGAATAAAGCTTTTGTGTAATAGTAAGAACTTTATTTTCACTTCTTTTTTTGAATGCGAAATAATAAAGTTAAAGAATCTGCTGTATATGTATTCTTTTTTAATGGGAAAAATCACTTTGTCAAAATGAATAAAGATAATCAGAGATGGAAAATTGCACCGCATTTTATGTATACTTGGTTTAATAAAACACTTTTCGTAATAATTTGAATATTTTAGTACACATGACGCGAGGTAGATTTCAATCTAAATACAATAAACTATATATTAATAGTGAAAACGTCACGATAATCACTGAACACCGAATTACGGAACAACCCCCAAAATATTCGAAAAAATATCACTTTAGTAAAGGCTAACTATAATATTCGAGCGCAATTACTGTAATCGTTATCTGCTATTACTGTTTTTAACAACATTTTATCAATGCAAAAATAAAGGAATAAACTAAAAGCAAAAATAATCACTTAATTAGATGGTAAAACTACTAAGTAAAACTTAGCAACTAACTAACTTAACTAAACTTAGTAACTAAACTTACTGACTAAGTAAGACTACAGACGACGCACATTTTGAATGTAGAACATCTTAAGATGAACCATCCGGGGACTATG